TTATATATATATATATAGGGAAAAGTTTATATAAGTTTAATATTGAAAGACCCTCCAATTGAACATCTCAACATTAAGATGTTTAAATATAAAAGAAAAAAGTTTTGGAGTCTCAAAAATAGTGTATCATGCAGCACATATCTAGACTGTCCATTTTAAAGATTTTCATATGTCTATAGATCTACTTGATTTTAACCATTTTTGAAGTTTAAAATTTTCTAATTAGATATGAAAATAGATTTTAAGATAATCCTAATATTTTTTTACAACAAAATTACATGCTATGATAATATTTGGAGGTGTGCCTTAATTGGATTGTTTAAGGTTGCAACCTTTTAGAAACCTCACCCATATATATAGGATATGGTTTGTATAGAGCCGAGGCTCTAAATAATCAAATTATAGCCCACCTTCAAATAGTGTCGAAAAATGTAGTTTCAATACTGAAAGTCTTTGACTAGCCTTAAAATATATTTTCATCTTTAATTATAAAATTTAAAGCTTCAAAAATAGTGTAGATCGAGCAAATCTATGAAAACTTAAATAACTTAAAAATTGACGGTCCAAAAATACGTTACAAGATATACTATTTCAAAAACTCGAAATCCATTTTTTTCTCAAGTCCATGCATCTTGATGTCAATGATCAATTTGAGGATATTTGGGCATCAAAACCACATCTTTTAGTGAAATTTTTGAGCTAGGCTCTAATTTGATTGTTGAACCTAGGCTCTATATAAACTTTTCCCAAATAAATATAGGGTGTGGTTTGTATAGAGCCTAGGCTCTAAACAATCAAATTAGAGCCTACCTTCAAATAAGGTCGAGAAATGTGGTTTTATTTTCATCTTTATTTATAAAATTTAAAGCTTAAAAAACAGTGTAGATCGAGAGATCTATGAAAACTTGAAAATCTTGAACATTGATGGTGAAAAAATGCTTTACAAAATACAATATTTCCAAAACTTGAAATCCATTTTTTTCTAATGTCTGTGCATGTTAATGTCGAGGTAGGCTCTAATTTGATTGTTTAGAGCATCGGCTCTATATAAACTTTTCCCATAAATATATCACCCACACTTTAATTACCATTCCACTGTACCGGATTCGTTGCCCATGGCAGCAGTTTGCGACACTGCAGGAATGATATTGTGTGTCCCCTATAGTCGATTGTCGACACCGTATCATCATTATGGCCCATTCTGTTACAGACATCCAGATGGTTTCGGTCCCCAGAGTGCAGCCCTATTTATATTATTTGAGGGTTCGACCAAAGTCCATTGCTACTTCACTCTGGTTAACGTGCATTGTTAACACAAGAACGGATTGTATACCATTAAAACATTTACTAATACTATTGTTACAAGGTCATAATCACTCTAACTCCTTCGACATCAAATTGGATGGTTTGGAATGTGTGAATGACATATTTTGAGTCTAGTCAATAACATACGACCATCTGAATTTAAATTTGTCAGACAATCTTTAATATTGCTTCCTTGTATTAAAAGTAAATTGTTTCTTTATATACTTTTCTTTTCGAGAAAAGTTTTGTTGAGTCAGCCCACTCGTGAGCAGTCCTGGTTTTTAAGAGGATTTAGGAGCCAAAGTAAATCTCAAGTTATTGTAAATCCATTTCTGCCTCAAATCAATCAATCTGGAGCTTTGTTCATATTTAGGACCCAGAATACTTTTTAAGTTATTGTAAATCCTTTTTTGCCTTTGATCTATGAATTTTGAATCTTCTTTTTATTTTTTTGAGAGAGATTTTTTTTTTTTTTGAGAAAATCTTCACAAACAAGAAAACAATACAGATCTTATTTTCTTGAAAATTTGAATTGAATGGTCCGAAAAAGGCAAAAAAGTTTATATAAGGTCTCAACCTTATACTGTACGGATAAGATGCACTTAGAAAACCCACTAGTGGAAAACCTTTAAATCGATCATCTTGACCTCAAGATACATAGAAATGAAAATATATATATATATATATATATATATATATATATATATATTTCTAGTCCCAAAATTAGTTCATATTCAAGTGTTTATCGATCTGCCTGATCGTCACAATTTTTGAAACTTCAAGTTTCATAATTCAAGGCAACAATAGATTTTCATATCATTGTAAAGCTTTGTTGCACCGAAACTGCATTTTTGGCATAGTTTTGAGGTGCACCTTACTTCAATAATATAAGGTTGACACCTTATACAAACCTCACCCAACAAAAATATTGGAACCTCACTTTCTCTAGCTCCAAACCAAGAACAAGTGTTCTTCCATTCAACTACCTCGTTTTGGGTTTGGAAAGTAGGAATAAGCAGAATTTTTTGCACCATTCGGCGTGGGTGACTTAATTAGGACCAAATTACTAAAATGCCCCAGTTTGATTGGGGTTTCAATTTTCGAATGCAGGGACATAGTCTAGGTTTGTAATTCATAACAAGCATGAAAATTGAAGTAAGCATGGAAATTTAAGTCACTTTGCTTGAGTTACTCGAGCCAAATTTCCGAAAGCCACCACTTGTTTAGGGTTTTAAACATAGAATAGGGTTAATTTCGGTGTTTTTAACTAAATGGTTGAGGAAGTACCAAAGGATTTTCTAGCCATGGCAAGCTTCCTATGCTTCCCCTACAACATAAAACTTATATACTTTCCATTATCCAACCTTGCCATGGCAAGCTTCCTATGCTTCCCCTACAACATAAAACTTATATACTTTCCATTATCCAACCGTCCATTTTGAATGCAGGTTAAGATTACCCCAATCACAATATCCCGTCTCTACACTATTTTATTTTTAATTTTTTTCTAGAAACTATTTTGACACCAAATTGTGGACATCCAATCCTCTATTAAACTCGCACTAGAAAAAAATATATAAAAAAAAACATTTCCAATAAAATAAAATGACCAAAATGCCCTTAAAAGTTTCAAAAGGTATTTTGGCCATTATATGTTATCGAAAACTTATTTTTAATATTGTTTTGATAGGTGCGCCCCAATGAGAAGATGGCACATACCAAATTTCATATCCATACAATATGTATAAAAAAACTAAAAATAAAATACTTTAAGACGTCAGATCTAAGATCAAACGGTGAATGGCTCTCTTAATCAAAATTGGATGGCTTGATGGAAGGAGAAGCATAGATCTTCTATGCTGTAAGGGAAGTATAGAAACCTTTCCCTTCTAGGGATAACCACTTTCTTGATAAACTCAATGATTTCAATTACTTCAATTACTTTATTTTTTGAGGTTTTACTTTTTGTATTTTTCTTCAATATAAAACAAAATTAAATAGGTGTATGTAACAGTAATTTGATAAAGAGTAATGATCCTATGAGACCTTCCCACACCATGTGTGTAGGACCCCAAAAGATCACATCTCTAAAAAGTTGTCACATGGGTGTGGGACTTGAATGACCATTATAAAGGTGAAAATCACGCTCTTGAAATGTAGGTAGGTTCACAGAGATGACTATAGGAGCACATGACAAATAAACCAAAGATCAATCAGGCGTGATATCTTGAAAAACATGGAGCTCAAGTGACCCACAAGAACCAGCAATTAAAGATGTCTATAGAGACTCACAATAGTCATTAAGAATTCTATAAAATCCATGAGAAACCCCTAAGTCAACTTTTCATTGCACAAGCAATTAGTCATCTTTTCATTCCACAAATAAATTTGTGCCTTTTAACAAAAACTGCTGTTCAGAAGCAGGTCAAACCCAGGCTTCTACATGAATTATTCAAGACGAAAATATCCCGTTCATAATTCTCATAATAGACAAGTGACAAAGAAAGAGTTGTACCGGAGCTCCCTCTGCCGGCCAGGGTACCGACCAAAGATTGGGAACCATTCTAACAGCTCTAGGACTCGGGATCTTTAGAGAACTGCTTCTTCAACCAGTCAAATGGCTGTGAAATCCAAAACAGACAAACAACAAAGGTATGACAAAGGGAAGATAGCCTTTAAAGAGAAAACAAAATGGCTACTTTACAAAGAGGTAGATCAACATAAACTTCCGAGGCGCGCAAAAGAGATCACCACCAGCAGCTAAAATTAATATCTCTCTATTTCTGTCTCTCTCCCCAATAAACTTCCTAGGTGCAAAACAGATCACAACCAGCAACGGAAATTACGAATTAAACAATAAACAACCACTCCCCCACCCCACCCTCTCATACAAACAACACACCCTCTCTCTCTCTCTCNCCCTCCTCTCTCTCTCTCTCTCTCTCTCTACTCTACTCTACTCTACTACTACGTACGTACGTACTACGTACTACGTACTACGTACTACTACTACTA